AAGTTTGTTCATGGTGTAGTTGGGCAGCAGTTCAGAGAAGAAAGATATGGAACATCGGGAGCGTTCCCCGGACGGTGCGGCCAACCATTCGGGAAACGCCAACGCGCGGCGTGAAGATGACCTATTTTGTATGTTCACGAAATGAATGAAGGATCCATGCAGGTGTTCCCCGAATGTTTGGACGGGACATTCGGGTAACGTCGTCCAGAGGGGGCGCAATATGCGCTGTAAGGACTGATCGGCGCGTCCGCAGAAGCAGTCCTCGGTGTTTCCCGAATGATTGGTCGGCCAACTCGGGGAACGACATCCAGAGGCGTGCAGATAATCGATGATGCGGCTGGGCAGCAGTTCAGCAGAAGTGGACCACGATGCTCCCCGAACGATCGGACCAGCTTTCCAGGGAGCGCCGTCCCGAGAGGCGAGAAGGATCGGCGGTGGGATTCACACTGCAGTTAGACATAATCGGACCTGGACGAGTGGACGAGCCTGACTCGGGGAACGCCGCCCAGGGCCGCGAGGAGTATCGATGGTGTAAGTGGACAGCAGCTCAGCGGAATGGGAACGCGCTGTTCCGCGATGTTTCGGAAGACCCACTCGGGGAGCGCCGTGCATAGGCGTGACGATAGAACCGTTGGTGTAACTGGATAGCGGATAGCAGTTCGGCAGATCGGACCATGGTGTTCCCCGAACGCTTGGACAAGTCACTCGGGGAACGCTATGGTGTGAGTTGGTCCTGGCTCGGATTTCAATACCCTGCAAAGGGTGCTCGCGGGCAACGCGGGCGAGTCAGAAGAGAAGCGCGAGGATGCCGACCAGGTTCGCTTCCGCTCGTGGCGGATCTGCCCGTTTGCTTCACGGACGCTGTCGGCATGGGGGGCAAACGAGCAGGGCGTGTTCAAACACACGCGCGGCATTCTCCGCGGCTGGAAACTGCCACGGGACGAGGAGCGTGTGAGGTCGCTTGCATACTGGAAAGTCGTATTGCAGCATGGACCTACGAAGTTGTACATTGAAGTCCCCACTGGGACGATGTTGGTGCCAGAGAGCGAAGGGCGACGCATGTGCACGTTTTCGTTTTCCATGCAGGTGCGGCCGTGGTCGCTGGGCGATGCAGGTGCCATGAAGCTGAAGCGCTACGGCTTCCCCGTCGTGCCCGACTTAAATGGGGCGGCCCGCGCGTATTGCGGGAGTGCGCTGCCCGCTGCCATCCGGGAGGAAGGAAGCAGACTGACCCAGCGGCAGAGACGAAGAGGCTTTCTCAGAAGAGGAAGAGATGCCGAGACATTGACAGCGGCGTTGGCAAAGGCAAGCACAAGGATCACAAAAGAAACACAAACAGAAACGAAGACGGGAGTGGAGACGGAGACCGTAGCAGAGGGGGATATGGAGGCAAATCGAAAGACACAGAGATGCTCAGCAAGGAAGAGGCGATGGAAGGAGGAAACACCAAACATAGAGATTAAGCGATAAGCGGGAAGAGGTTCAAGTGAAAGGCATAGGAGTGACACGACAAAAACAAAAGAAGGGCAAGGAGGACATGCAGCGAACGAGTTAGGGTTCAACATGCGTACGGAAACTCGAAAAGAACGCACGGCTAAAAGAGTTGGAGAGCGATCCTGTCTGGCAGGTGGATCACCTGACTCATGTCTATGGTGCCTGCGAAGTCTAGCGCCATGTAGCTGCGGTCTATGCCCGGGGAACCCTGGCGGGGTGCGGGAGAGACACATCAGAAAGGATGGAAAAAGACACGATTCGAGGGCGGCCTACGGACGGCGCGGGTGTGTCGAGTGACCGCCAGGCCAGCTGCACCGAGGCGTGCGAAATATAGGGAGCTCACAGAGGCAGAAACCGGTCAAGGATGTGAAACCCATCGAGTGTCCGCCACTCCTCCTCCTGTTCCTTCTCCTGCTCCTGCTCCTCCTCCTCCTCCTCCTCCCCCTCCTCATCCTCCTCCTCCTCCTCCTCCTCCTCCTCCTCCTCCTCCTGCTCCTGCTCCTGCTCCTGCTCCTCCTCCTCTCCTCCTCCTCCTCCTCTCCTCCTCCTCCCTCCTCCTCCTCCTCCTCCTCCCTCCTCCTCCCTCCTCCTCCTCCTCCTCCTCCTCCTCCTCCTCCTCCTCCTCCTCCTCCTCCTCCTCCTCCTCCTCCCACTCCCCTGCCTCCTCCTCCTTATCCTCCCCCTCCTCCTCCGAAACCCTTGTGCTGTGTCCGCCGACTCGCGCTTGCTGGAGGTGGGGATGGCAAGGCGCGTGAAGCACTCGGCCGACACTACACTGAGCCTGCAGACAGGCAGACAGGGCTGGACCAGAACGTTGTTCCTTGTGTTGTTCCCAACCATCATGTGGTGTCGGGTCCTCGTTTTGAAGAGACGGTCCCCGCGTTCCCCCTTCCCCCCCTCATCCCTCCCCCTCCTGCCCCTCCTCCCTCCTCCCTGCGTCTCACCCACCCAGTACAACGTTTCGTGGCCCCTTAGGGAGAACCACCAACCCTCCAGTGGGACCGTCCGCACGCGTCCCGGGAACACCCAATTTGGCATTTTCACCCACCCAATACAGCGCTTCGTGGCCCCATAGGGAGCTCCACCGAAGGCCCCACCGTCCGCATGCGTCCCCCACACACACACACACACACACACACACACACACACACACACAACTTGGCATTTTCACCCACGCAGTACAGCGTCTCGTAGCCCCATAGGGAGCTGCACCGAAGCTCCCACTGGGACCGCCCACATGCGCCCCATACACCCAATTTGGCATTGTAAGGCACAAAGTGAGGCGCTTCATGGCCCCATAGGGGGCTCCACCGAAGGGCCTATTGCCACCGTCCGCATGCGTCCCGAAACACCCAATTTGGCATTTTCACCCACACAATACAGCGCTTCGTGGCCCCATAGGGAGCTCCACCGAAGGCCCCACCGTCCGCATGCGTCCCCCCCACACACACACACACACACACACACACACACACACACACACACACACACACACACACACACACACATACACACACACTTTGGCATTTTCACCCACCCAGTACAGCGTCTCGTGGCCCCATAGGGAGCTGCACCGAAGCTCCCAGTGGGACCGCCCACATGCGCCCCACACACCCAATCTGGCTTTGTCACCCACCAAGTGCAGCGTTTCGTGGCCCCAAAGGGAGCTCCACCGAAAGCCCCACTGCCACCGTCCGCATGCGTCCCGAAACACCCAATTTGGCATTTCCACCCACCCAAAACAGCGCTTCGTGGCCCCATAGGGAGCTCCACCGAAGGCCCCAGTGCCACCGTCCGCATGCGTCCCGAAAACCCAATGCGGCATTTGTACCCAATACAACGCTTCGTGGTCCCGTAAGGAGCCCCACCGAAGCCCGCAACGGAATCCGCATGCGCCCCGAAACACCCCATGTGGCGTTTTCACCCACCCAATACAACGCTTCGTGGCCCCATTCAGAGCTCCATCGAAGGCCCCACTACCACCGTCCGCATGCGTCCCGGAACACCCAACGTGCCATTTTCACCCACCCAATACAGCCCTTCATGGCCACATGGTCAACTCCACCGAAGCCCCCAGTGGGACAGTCCGTACCGGTCCCAGGAACACCCAATTTGGCATTTTCACCCACCCAGTGCAACGTTTCGCCCCTCCTCCCTCCCCCTCCTGCCCCTCCTCCCTCCTCCCTGCGTTTCACCAACCCAGTACAACGTTTCGTGGCCCCATAGAGAGAGCTCCACCGAAGCCCCCAGTGGGACCGCCCCCAGGCGTCCCACCCGCCCAATTTGGCATTTTCACCCACCCAGTGCAACGCTTTGTGACCCCATAGGGAGCTCCACCGAAGCCCGCCCGCACGCGTCCCAGGAACACCCAATTTGGCATTTTCACCCACCCAATACAGCGCTTCGTGGCCCCATAGGGAGCTCCACCGAAGCCCCCAATGTAACCGCCTGCATGCGCTCCGGAACACCCAATTTGGCATTTTCACCCACCCAGTACAGCGATTTGTGGCCCAATAGGCAGCTCCACCGACGGCCCCAGCGCTGCCGCCCGCATGCGTCCCCCACACCCAGTACAGCGTTTCGTGGCCCCGCAGGGAGCTCCACCGACGACCCCACTGCTACCGCCCGCATGCGTCCCACACACCCAGTACAGCGCTTCGTGGCACCATAGGGAGCTTCACCGAAGGCCCTGGTGTTACCGCCCGCATGCGTCCCCCCCACCCAGTGCAGCGCTTCGTGGCCCCATGGGGAGCTTCACCGAAGAAGATGTTCACAATTGCGGTACCCACAACTGCATATGGTTCGGTGCTTCGCCAGGATAAGTTTCCTTCTGCTGTTCGTTTTGCTCTACCTGGCTTCCTGTGCCTCCCTGCCAAAACGAAAGACAAAACACAGCCGAAGTCCAGCAAAACACCGTTTAGGTGCAGCCCTGGCCTGCAGATGTGTGAGCACGTTGCCCACAGTGGAAGGGCAGATCTGCTCGGCGTCCAGGAGATTGGCACATCCAACACCCCTTCGTGGCCGCCGCGATCTGCTATACGCTCTCCGCTCTTCCTGCCTCCTCGTGTGCCCCCTCGTGGGCCGCCCTATCGGTATCCATACGTTTTGACGGAGACCAGCAGGGAATGAGCACAACGGAGACAAGAGCAAGGCCTCCTGCACGTGGCGTCGTAGCCATCTGGAGGGCAGCACAAGCAAAATGCAAAGCACGGGGGCAAGCTGGGCGACCCAACTGCGACGGACCATCACTCCTGCATCATCTTCGAGGACTGCCAAGCCAGGTCAGTCAATATACAAGCGCGCATCCGTGCACAGACAGTTGCATCTGCGTTGCGACCTCACGCATACATGCACACGTGCAGTGTTGGTGAACGCTTCCTTATTGAAGGACAAATCACCCAAACAGAATTTGATCTGCGCACTCACGCAAGCACGACTGGGCAAACATGTGCGGTCGTGCAAGCGGGAACGCTCAGGACTGCGAAAGAATCCAGAAGAACACGACTAACTTGCCGCATAATCACACAACAAGCGGCTAACCCACGATCGTTCTGCAGAAACTCTGCTTATGGTTGCACGGTTCCAGGCAAACCTAGTTGAATGATCAAAGCACCTGGAATTGGGAAACAGCACGCCCCAATCAAGGAAGAACGGGCCAGCAAGAAACTATGTTAAAAAAGGTGCTGCCACAATCTGGAGTGGCCACAAGAAGATAGGCACGTCTGGCTGCCCCGCAAAGTAGTCCCGAAAAAAACAATCCCAACTGGGTAACATGAGAATGTTGAAACAGAGCCCAGTCGGACAACGAATCCGACGTGCATATTCTCCATAAGTTCTGTCTCCTGAAATGTTCGTGCGTGTCCTGTCAATCAGTTCCTCCACACACAAACGGCAATAGACTAATCGTGGGCAAAAGAATGGCTACAATGCCCCGCCCATCCTCCCCCTCCCCCTTTTCTTCCTCCTCCTCCTCCTCCCTCCTCCACCTCCTCCTCCTTCTCCCCCGCCTCCTCCTCCTTGTCCTCCTTCTCGTCTTCATCCTCCTCCTCCTCCTCCTCCTCCTCCTCCTCCTCCTGCTCCTCCTCCTCCTCCTCCTCCTCCTCCTCCGCGTGGTAGCCGGCCTGCTGCCGTCTCCAACAACTGACCATGCGTCGGAGTCCTGGCAGCCGATGGGTTGAGCTCCGCAAGCATGCAGCCCCATCTGAACACGACCCCCGTCTTTCTGATGCCCATCTCTGCTGTGTTTGCTGCCTTCGCTGCGGCTGCTGCCCGACACTGCCAGGATCACAGCACCGAAACGGCCCGGGCCGTGCTTTCACCGCCCTCCGGAGCTGGAGATTCGGGAGCTGTCAGGTAAGGAATTGACCAGCCTGAGCCAGACATGGCCCTGTACTACGCTGCCGCCCTCCTTTCTCACGCACCATTGCTCACTCCTGCAGTGCGACTCAGAAGCCGCGGGGGTGGCCTGTGCAATTCTTGCACCGAGGCGGTTGACGCTGTCTCTGGCGTGCTCCCAAGTTACCACTCATCGGCATCGTCAGACATCTCCCGATCCACAGGTGGGCCAGGGTTCCTCAGCGCCGCAGGCTGGCCCCCTCAAATGCCTCGAGACCCGACGGAAACCGCATGAACCCCTTCTAGGAGATTTGGTCAGACAGGGGGCCGAGGCTTCTGTTCTTGGGATGGAGATGAGTCTGACGATGCTGAACTCAACCTCCTAGAACCTACCTCATACTCCTCTGCATTTGCCCAGGAGCATCCTGAGCTGGAGCAGACTGCACAAAGAGAAGACTTCCAACTCATGTCCCGCGGGAGTGGGCCTGATCTGAAGCACTTTCAGTTTCACAGATGACAGAACTGGCGTAGCTCCACTGCCTCGCACTTCCTTCCAGGATCCGATCTGGCCCACAGGTCTCGAGCACTTCAAATGCTGAAAGCGAGGCCTGTGCACCGCACCTGCTTCCAAGAAGAGGGGGCAGCTTTCATCTCGGTGAGATGTGGCAACTACTCCTGGCGCTGGATAAAGCCTACAACCGTGACGAGCTGAGCGAGAGGAAGGAAGACTCCTACCTCTATCGGGCACACGCCAAGATGGATTGGGGATCCATGGGTCTGGCGCGTGGGCCCCCCGAAACATGAGGCCAGTGTCCCCTGAGCCGGCGACGGAGAGCGTCGACTCTGCACAAAACTGGACCCGTCGCCAATCCACGCGCTTCAATCCCTGTTTGCGCTTCCTCCGACTCTCCACCTCACTCCCATCCCCGCTCCGTCCTCCCCCCCCGATCAGCAGGGGCTGCCGCCAGCAATAGAGGAAAGCAGACGAGGACGAGGAGCGGGAGTAGCGTGTGGAACGATGGCTCGCTCGCTTCTGCAAGCAACTCGGCACTAGTCAAGGCTGGTAAGAAACACGAATGCCCAGGAGTGGGACGACGACAACGACAACGAGACGGAGGTTGAGAACGAGAAAGAAAGACGTGACGAAGAAAAAGCAGGCGAGCCAGACGCGCGCGCGCGCGAGGAAAGCCGTCCGGGCAGCTGTGCCAGGAGGTCTGGCGGCTGTGGCCCTGGCGCATAGACGGATTTCGGGCACCCAGGGCAGCATCCGACTCGCGAAACCGTGCCACAACCTGCTCACTCACGCATGCCCGTAGGCATCGGCACGCAAAGGGCGACAATGTGTCTCTGTCGTACTTCAGGCCGCACACCTTCTCCTCCTCCTCTTCCTCCTCCTGCCTCATTCCGACCGGCTCCCCTTGAGGAGTCCCTCTCATGTCCAGGAGGCTGGCAAAAGAATCAGGGAGATAAGTGAGGAGCATGCCAAGCCTTTCGTCGCTGCCTCTCCTCCCTGAGGAGGTGTTTTACAGTGGGTAAGGCTCCTGCTGCAGACCACACTGTGTGGACTGAGGCTCCCCAGGTTGAGTACTGGGAGCGGTCCTTGTTCATGGAAGTAGTTTCCGCATAAAGCTCTAAGGACTCAGGAGGACAGGCCAAGCAATCGTTCAGATATTCCGAGTTCGTCAATATTGTGGTTGCAGCTTTCGGTGTTGTTCCATCAGGTCCCGAACCCAATCAAGTGGCCCGAGGTGCAGATGACTGAGCTTTTCGCGTGCTCTGGAAATTTTCGGAGTGGAACTCCGTTGGTGGGAAGAAAGAGATTGGGCGCATCGCATTCGATCCACAAAATTTGGTATCATACCTCGGCTGAGTCGGCCAGCATTGATCATGGGAAGTGGCTGATTGGTAGAACTAGGATGGCCGCGAGATGGTGCGACGCAGGTGTTCAGCGATCGCGCGCCCCCTCCAGCACATCGTCTTTGCAAAGGGCGGTAAAAGCCACACCGCTCGACGGCATGTAATGAACCAGCAGGTTTTGAATGGTTCGGGCTGGACACGGCGGGAGGCCATCGGGAGGAGGCAGACAGCCGCTGAACTTCACGGGCTTGAATCCCGTCGTGCGATTTTGGAACTTGTCCAGACGTTGGACCGCAAGAGTGATGAGGGCCAGAAAGTCCAGCCCGTTCGTGACCAGGGCTGGGCCCTCGTTTTGCGCCGAAGCCAAGGGCCAAAGGGAGCTCTCGAAGGCCTCATGCACTCACCACGCTCAGCACATCATCCACCCCTCCTCCTCCTCGTCCTCCTCCTCCTCCTCCTCCCCCTCTTCCTCTTCCTCCTCCTCCTCCTCCTCCTCCTCCTCCTCCTCCTCCTCCTCCTCCTCTTCCTCCTCCTCCTCCTCCTCCTCCTCCTCCCCCTCCTCCTCCTCCTTTTCCTCTGCCACCTCCTCCTGTTCCTCCTGCTCCACCTCCTCCTGCTCCTCCTGCTTCTGCTCCAATTCCTGCTCTTGCTCCTGCTCCTGCTCCTGCTTCTGCTCCTCCTCCTCCTCCTCCTCCTCCTCCTCCTCCTCGTCCTCCTCCTCCTCCTCCTCCTCCCCTGCCTCCTCCTCCTCCCCTCCTCCTTTTGCTCGCCTCCTCGTCCCTCCTCCTCCTCCTCCTCCTCCTCTCCTCCTCCTCCTCCTCCTCCTCCTCCTGCTCCTCCTCATCCTCCTCTCCTCCTCCTCCTCCTCCCCTCCTCCTCCTCTGTTCCTCCTCCTCTGTTCCTCATCCTCATCCTCCTCGTCGTCCTCCTCCTTCTCATCATCATCATCATCATCATCATCATCATCATCATCATCATCATCATCATCATCATCATCATCATCATCATCATCATCATCATCCTCATCCTCATCCTCATCCTCATCCTCATCCTCATCCTCAGCAGCAGCATCATCAGCATCATCAGCATCATCATCATCATCATCATCATCATCATCACCAGCATCATCATCATCATCATCAGCATCATCATCATGAGCAGCAGCAGCAACAGGAAGCAGCAGCAGGAGCAGCAGCAGCAGCAGCAGCAGCATCAGCATCAGCATCATCATCATCATCATCATCATCAGAATCATCATCACCATCACCATCAGCATCATCATCCTCAGCAGCAGCATCATCAGCATCATCAGCATCATCAGCATCATCAGCACCATCATAAGCATCATCAGCATCAGCAGCAGCATCATCCTCAGCAGCAGCATCACCATCATCAGCATCATCATCACCACCATCAGCATAATCATCATCATGAGCCGCATCATCATCATCATCATCATCATCATCATCATCATCATCATCATCATCATCATCATCACCAGCATCATCATCATCATCATCATGAGCAGCAGCAGCAGGAAGCAGCAGCAGGAGCAGCAGCAGCAGCAGCATCAGCATCAGCATCAGCAGCATCATCATCATCATCATCATCATCATCATCACCAGCATCATCATCATCATCATCATCATCATCATCATCATCATGAGCAGCAGCAGCAGCAGGAAGCAGCAGCAGGAGCAGCAGCAGCAGCAGCATCAGCATCAGCATCATCATCATCATCATCATCATCATCATCACCATCACCATCAGCATCATCATCCTCATCAGCAGCATCATCAGCATCATCAGCATCATCAGCATCATCAGCATCATCAGCATCATCAGCATCATCAGCACCATCATAAGCATCATCAGCATCAGCAGCAGCATCATCCTCAGCAGCAGCATCACCATCATCAGCATCATCATCACCACCATCAGCATAATCATCATCATGAGCCGCACCATCATCATCATCATCATCATCATCATCATCATCATCATCATCATCGTCATCAGCATCGTGATCATCATCACCCATCATCACCATCATCATTGTCATCATCAGCATTGCCATCATCATCATCAGCATCAGCAGCATCATCATCAGCATGAGCATCAGCATCATCATCCTCATCATCAGAATCAGCAGCAGCATCATCCTCAGCAGCAGCATCATCAGCATCATCAGCATCATCATCACCAGCATCAGCATAATCATCATCATCATGAGCCGCATCATCATCATCATCATCATCATCATCATCATCATCATCATCATCACCAGCATCATCATCATCATCATCATCATGAGCAGCAGCAGCAGGAAGCAGCAGCAGGAGCAGCAGCAGCAGCAGCATCAGCATCAGCATCAGCAGCAGCAGCATCATCATCATCATCATCATCATCACCAGCATCATCATCATCATCATCATCATCATCATCATCATCATGAGCAGCAGCAGCAGCAGGAAGCATCATCAGCATCAGCAGCAGCATCATCCTCAGCAGCAGCATCACCATCATCAGCATCATCATCACCACCATCAGCATAATCATCATCATGAGTCGCACCATCATCATCATCATCATCATCATCATCATCATCATCGTCATCAGCATCGTGATCATCATCACCCATCATCACCATCATCATTGTCATCATCAGCATTGCCATCATCATCATCAGCATAAGCAGCATCATCATCAGCATGAGCATCAGCATCATCATCCTCATCATCAGAATCATTAGCATCACCATAAATATCAGCATCACCATAAACATCAGCATCATCATCATCAGCAGCATCAGCACCAGCGCCAACATCATCAGCATCATCTGCATCACCATCATCAGCATCATCACTAGCATCATCATCAGAATCATCATCATCATCGTCATCGTCATCATCATTATCGTCATCGTCATTGTCATCATCATCATCCTGATCCTCATCATAATCGGCATCCTCGTCATCAGCATCAGCATCAGCATCATCGTCATCATCATCAACGTCATTATCAGCATCATCATCGTCATTGTCATCATCATCATTATCGTCATCGTCATCGTCATCATCAGAGTCGTCGTCATGATAAGAATCATCGTCATCATAGCCATCATCATCACCATCATCATCATCATTTTCTTCCCACTCATCCTCCAAGACTACCCTTACCGAATCGGGCCTCCCGGTTCCAGGATATCAAGGCACCACCCTCAACGATAACCGACCACAGGAAAAAGTTGCTGGCAGGCACCACGCTTCAGTGAGTTCAGCGATGCACTGTTTGTTTCCTCCGCCGGTATCTCCGCCCCCGCCCACGCCCAAATCGAAGATCACTTACACACTGCCCACTGCGACCGTGACCTTCCCACACTGCACACAGGGAACGACAGCAAAGACACGATTGCATATCAGCACGTACTGGGATGGCAGAACCGTACATTCTGGTCAAACAGAAAGCCAAATCTACCAAACGGATATGACAACCAAGGTAACACGGATGAGCGAAACTGCAAACGTACGTCCCAGCCTGTGAGGCGCCCGAATTCATTGCCCGCCGCAGGGCCGTACCATGCACAAGCTTCGACACTTGGGCCGCCTGGAAATGACCACACGCAATTGCCAAATGTCGTGTACCAACGACAAATACCACTGGAAGACCAAAATATGGCACCTGGCTGTTGGGCGAAGATAGGTAGCGCGCACGTTTATGCCTCGAAACATATCTATTAGACGCATTATCACAACATTGCCGCGTACTCGTGACAGGTGAGGTCCCACGCCCCAGAAAGAACGAGCACTGGCCCCCACAAGCCCAAAATCGGGCAATCCTTGTTTCAAAAATTTGTGTCAACATACATACACACATATATATAGTATCCATTTGGATATAACAAGCTATGATGCCATACTATGTGGAGAATAATCGCATGTGGTCGAATATGAAATGGTATGTTCCATTATAGTTCACCACGGTGTGATATGGTATGCTGAAAAGGTAGTTGGCTGTGATATGATACAATATGGAATATGAGAGAATGTATAATTCTACAAACGTGATGAGGTAGGTTACGGTGTGATTGAACATGACAAATAAAATAAGAAACACGAAATCATAGTACCACATAACATCATACAACATATCGCATTGCATTATGTATACTATGAGAAACACATGTACTGTTTTACCGCGCACACATATATACGTATATTATATACGTGTATCTACATGTACGCAAGTCTGATATATACATATAGATACACATGCATACAGATGTACCTGTGTACATAAATACGAAGTGTAGATGACGGTCGCGACCCAGGCTCCAGAGACGGTCCACTCTTCTATAACTGTCCACCTCCCTGAAAATTACACTCTGCGTTCTTGGGCACGGCGAAGCTCCATTTGTCCAAACTTCCACCTTCGTGCAACAGCGCGGGGCCTGTTAGGCCGAATCACCGCACTCGAACGATTGCGTCGACCCCAACAGGCGGGTGGCCAACACATGGACGGTCTGTGAGCAGGATGCGACAAACTGTGGCGACACATTGGAACACGTGCCTGGAAGCGCGGCACCCCTCAGCGCGCGGAGACCACGCTCATCATTGACAGCCCATGTAAACTCGAACCTCCGCACCCACACCCACACCCACAAACACATCCGCACCCAAACCGACACCCACACCCACAACCACGCTTCAAACACACCCACACCCACATCCACACCCACCCACCGCCACACTCACACCAACACCCACGCTCACACCAACGCCCGGCCCACGCCCCATCCCAGCCCCACGCCCACGCCCACGTCCACGCCAACGCCCACGCCCACGACCAAGCCCACGCCCAAGCCCGCGACCACGCCCGCGCCAACGCCTGCGCCCACGCCTGCGCCCACGCCCAAGCTCGCGGACACGCCCATGCCCAAGCCCACAGCGCCACGCCCAAACCCACGCCCACGCCCACGCTAACCCGCGACCGCGGGCGGGCCAACCCCCGACTGAAAAAAGGCGGCACCGGACCGATGATGCGTTCATCGCCGCGATTGACCCGCCTCAACGGAACGAACATATTACCGCTGTCACGCGCGACGTGAATCGATACATTGCGGCCAAAATCATGGCCCAAGGAAAAACGCCCCCTATTGCCCACCTGCATCGAGTCTACGCAAAGTAGCTCGACGCGGGCCGATCCAAGCCGCCAGACCAAGCGCTCTCGCGTCGCTCTCGAGCAGGTCGACGATGTCCGCCCAGTATTCGGCAAGGTCGAGGTAGCCCCCAGCAGTGATGGGCGCGGCGCCGCGCCCATGCTTCTCCTCCAAAAGTATCCTCACCTCACCCACGCTGTCCTGTACGATCATAGCGACGCTCCGCTCCCTGACCTTTTGGTCACAGCGTCTCACTGAGACAAATGCGGGCATAGCACAGCCACATGCCGACCTGGAAGAGCTCGTCAACATAACTCTCAAACCGCAGACACCTCGTACCAGCGAGGTTTGCTGACGGGACCTTCACGCACCTTGACACCGCCGATTCGCATCGCAACTTCCACGTCGGCAGTTCTTTAGCCAGACGATGCACCTGCAGGGGGTGATTGCGTTCCCGCGGCAGTCGCGCCTGCGGCCGCGCCCGCCTTTGCCGCATCGCCGCCGGCGCGCTTCGCGCCCTTCCCACCGCCGCGCGAAAGGTGCAACAAGCGATCGCACGCCTCTCGCAACCTCTGCTCGGGCCAACTGTTCATGCCTACCTCCAGGGGCTGATAGAACGCACGACACGCCCCTCGAACCCTGCCGATCAACTCCTGTCGCCAATTATGCTCCGCGAACGCCAAACGCTGCTGCCTCTGCACAGGATCCCCCTGCCCGCGCGCTCAACCGCTGCGGCAGCAGTCATGTCCGACGCGCCATCTAGCCGTTCACGCACCGCGCGCTCGCCGCTCCCCGACGGCGCCGATCCCCCGGAAGGCGCAGCGGCCGCGTCTTCCAAGTGGGCTCCCCGGCCGATTGCCCCACGACGGACCGCGCTGCCGGCGCGCCACTCGCGTCGGGCACGGGCACGGGCGCGGCGCGCAGGGCCCCGCGCGCAACCTCGCGGGACTCCTGCAAGCTCGCCTCCAGAATGGGTCCGTCCACGCGCCCATGCGCTTTCTTCTTGCTGGTCAAAACGACCCGACGGAGGCACGTCGCATCCCAGCGCTGGCACGCGCTGGCACTGCGCGCCAAGACTCCGACCCAAAATCCGCGCCAGACATTCTTTGGGATCAATCGTGACTGGCGTGTATCGGAGCCACTCGTCGCCCGCAATCACTGCTCTCACGCCTGATTCGAACGCCAGCATTCGCCTGGTCAGCGGACGCGGCTCCAGCGCCAGCGCCCGCGCCGCCGCCTCCGTCGCCGGCGGCTTCCGGGCCTGGCGGAATACCCCCGCCCCCTGCCCCTGCGCGACGGCGGCTACGGGTGGCCCGAAGCAGCTGAAGCGACGCCGGCGCTGGGATCCTCGACGCCCGACCGCCGTGGCCGCTTCCCCGCGGGCTCTCCTTCCGACGCCGCCTGCCCGGCGGACGCACGCGGCGCCGCAGAGAGCGCGGCAGATGCACTGGAGGCGAAGCCGCCGTCGCCGCCGCGCCCCCAAGCACACACCGCGCGCCCGACTTCGTCGGGCCGCGCGCCCGCCGAACGCACAGACGCAAACACATACGCCCCGCGCTACAATTCCTCCGAGTAGGTAAACTCCCTCCACGACACCCCGCGCCGATCGTCGCCAACAACCCCGAGAGCAATGAAATGTCCACTATGAATGTAAAAACGCTTGGCACCCCTGGGAAGAGGCGCAATGGCGCTCGAGAAATCCCACTCGAAACCCCCCTCCCCCGGCAGCATTGTCCGCGGGAAAAGAACGCGCCGCCAGTCATACTACTGACTGTCGAGATCTTAGCCAAACACACGCTTAACAGCGACAATGAAAACTGGCGGCAGCCGATCCCAGAACGTGCTCTTTGCAGCCCTACCACGACACACATTTTGGGCAAGATGTCGCCCATCGATGAGACGCGCATTCGAAGGAGACGCGTCGTCAACGACATCGGCATTGGATCTGGCGCCAGAGCAAGTCCTGCAAGTTCACTGCGTCATCCCGACGTGGGCACACCTCCTGAAGATCCACATCGAAAATGTTACTCATCTCTGCGGCATCCGAAATGAACTGGCACTTCTCGCAAGCTCTCACGCCGCGCAAAAAAAAATCCAAATATGTGCTGCAGCACAACTGTGCGCTCCCCGAACATGCCGGCCCTGCCGCGCGCCAAGACTTCCGACGCCCCCAAGGCTTCGAAAGCGCATTCGAACAACTCATCCGCGTCACCATGATCCCTCCTGGGAATGCTATCAAGAAAACATCCACACGCGCAGCGACAGCAAGCGGAGCGTCCGAGTCCGCCACGTCGCCCTGCATGGCAAGAGCCGCAGCCTGGCTGGCGAGAACGCCCGTGGACACCCCGCGGACATCGTCGCTGCACGCGCGCGTGAAAAACCTGCCGAATCGGCCCCAGCCGAAGTAGCACCTGCGCTACAGCATTGACGACGCACGGCGGCGCGGGCTCCGCGGGCTCCGAGCTCGAATACGAGGCAGCGCCATCGATGCGCTGGCCTGCACGGCCCACGCCCTCCGACCCGCTGTTTGCCATGGGACCGCCCCCCACGCCCGGACCGCGCACCTTCGCCCTCGCCCGAGCAACGATGAAGCTCCACTGCCTTCTCCTTAAGTCGGCGAACTTCTTCACGAACACACGCAGGCGCGCCCCTCTCCAGGATGTCCCATCGAGGCAGCTCGTACACAAAAAAGTGATGGGCCACACGCGCGCGGCTGAGCCTCACACACTTTTTGATCTGTGGGGCGAGAGCGAACCTCTTCCGCTAAATGCTAGGTGGGCTACGCACAGTTTTAATTAGGGAGACAGGGCACAGGAAGGCGGGGCTTCAGGCGGCTGGAGTGGGCGAAGCCCAGGGGTGCAGGCGATGCCGAAGTGGATGTGCAGGAGCAGGTGCGCCGCGGACTGGTACCCGGGGCGAAGTCCCGGAGGGTGAAGGAGAAGGCGTTGCCGTCGACGGCGCATCGCGAACACAAGCCTCAAGCGCTGCAGAGGGGGACGTGCCACTTGACCAGGTCGACGCCCAGGAGAAGAGGAGCACCACAAAGGCGATGTGCAACGCTGTGCCACCGGGTGATGCGGAAGAGGCCCAGGGTGGTAGTCCAATCCACGACCAGGTAGCAGCTTGCTTGAGGAGCGGCCACAGACGAGGGGGCCGTTCATGACCGACAGGATGTCGGTGGACTGCAAGGAGAAAACCTGCCCTGCACCGCCAGCGCGTGAAGACGGGCAGCAGCCACACACGATGCGCTGACATCCGCATTGCCGAGGGCCGGGCCTGAGCCGCGCAGCGCCATGGCGAGCGGGGCAGCCGAGGCGGCAAGGTGCAGCGCCCGGCACCGGGCCGAAGCCGCGCAGTTCCGGGCGCCGCCGCCATGGGAGGGGGGGAAGCGAGCGGGGGGAACATGACGGAGAAAGGCAGGCGCGCATCGCCAGCCGTCGACGTGTCA